AAAAAATTATAAAGTAACCATCAATAAATTTAAAACTATATGAGACACTAGAAAGCAATTTAAATTGGGTTGACCTTGTATAAAGGAAAATAGAGCTAGTTTCCTGATGCTCAATATCGACAGTGAATAGAATTTCCTAGTTAAGCAGGTTTGCTTGTTGTGAACACTTGAAAATAATTAAATGAACAGCATGTTCATTGTACCTTTGTGTTTCAAATGTGAAGTCTGATGGAATAATGGAGCACACACTGGGTATCTGGAGCCTCAGCGCACGTGTGGTCCTGTCTCTTTTCTCCTTCCTACCTCCTCATCCCTAAGATGGATTCTTAGCTGTCTGTCCACCCAGCCCCCTGCCAAACTCTACTCCCTGTCATCCCCTGATTCTGTGGGGTCTGGATGCAGGCACAGGAAGAAGATAGGAAGGTGTGCATGCCAAGTTATGGGACAGGGACCTACGCCACTGTGATGGCCTGCACTCGCCTTGTACTACCAGGCCCAAGGAAGAACATTAGATAGTGAATAATAAACAGCATGGCAGGTTTAAAAAAATCACAGAAAAGAGGACAAAAGCCTTTTTCCAGCTTTTTTTTTTTTTTAACAAGAGGCCTCCCCATTTTCATTTGCATTTGTCCACACAAATCTTGCAGCCAGTCCTGAGTACTGTTATTACCATCACTTCAAAAAACTGGACAATGAGGTTCAAAGAGGCTCAGTAATTTGCCCAAGGTGACACAGCTGCCAAGTGGCAGCATTCAGAGAATTATATCTCAGGGGTGAGAGAGAACTTTGAGATCATAAAGAACTTTAGCCCAGGAACCAGGAGACTTGCATTCAACTTCTGACCACAACTGGGCAAGCTGCCCATTCCACCTCATTTTTTCTAAGTGAAAGCACTCTGTGTAATCTTTGGCAGCACAGGTCTCGGGATTTGGCTTTGCAACTTACATAGGATGTGACTTTTGAGTACAAGGAAATCATCATTCACCCCACTTCCCCAGAGAGCTGCCATGAGTATTCAGCAGATGACAATCACTCAACCTAATGATACCTGAAGTCATAAAGCACTTTCATGCCATTCCCTCCCCCAGACAACACTGAGCAGAAGGTCGAGAAAGGAGTATTATTTTCCTCATCCCATGGACAGGAATGCTAAAGCATCAGAACTGTAAAGCGACTTCCCCCAGCTCCTACTGGTTTTCAAGCAAGTTTTGAATAGGTTAACAGGGCTCCCCAGGCACAGTCTCATAATATGAACATCCACAAAAGAAGGGTCACCACTTTGGGTAGTCCTGATGTGGAAAGACAGAATGGACCTCTCAGGACAGAAGCCCCAGATCTGAGGGAATCGGCTCCATCCCTGGTCTTGAGGGTCCCAGGTCTGAAGGAGGAGCCCAGAGAGGCATCCAGGAGCTCCTGAGAGAAAAGAAATACCAGGTCAGCAGCATTCACAGAGTGACTCAGATCCTGGAGGATACTTACCCAACATAGGTGGGGCGTGATCTACAGGGCATAGACAAACAGGCAGACAGAAGGATTGAGGGACAGGTCACAGCATAAGCATCATCCTCTCCACGTATAACCAGTTCACTGGCCAGTCCTGGGGAAGGTTTCTGTTGTGAGTTATGCCATTAACATAGACCCAGCATGTTTGTGTCTTTCCACAATGTCAGAATTTATTGAGTAACCATAAATTCATAGCTACACCACTTTCAGGAGTGGAAGTTCACTGAATATTAGGGTGATCACCTGTAGACATAAGTCAGGCAATCACAGGTTCTTTTATTCCAATCTTAACTACTAATATTTATAATACTCAAGTCACATGGGGGGGATATCTTACAGAAAGGCTAAGAAAGGGTTAAGGCAGCCTCAGAGGTTCAGGAGGCTAAACTAAGGGCAAAGTCTGAGCAGATACAATGCAAAGAATCACTGTAAGTGATCAGATCAAGATTACGTATTCTAAGTGAAGAGCTGTCAAAGTGCAGGAACTTATTCTAGGCCAGGGGTCAGAGAGCAGTTTCAGAGTGTCAGCTTGAGATATCCGTTTGGAGTGAGCTGTGCATGGTCTTCACAGGCAGCAGAAACCACACTGTGCTGAAGCCCCAGGATAGAGAACTGGAGGTTTTTCGTTATGGTGATTTTCCTGGCAAGGCTCTTGACAAATGACTAAATGACAGGGTTAGTGTGCCACTGTGTCCCATCTTGGGTGCTCCTCCTTTTATAGGCCTCAGGTGGAGGAAGTTGCTTCATTTGGTACTCAAGTATTTTAATAAGCCTGTTTTTTTCTGATATGAGTTTGATACATCCATGCATCCATGTGCTTCTGATTAATTCAGTAAGTTCACAGGTGATTATTTTTAATAGCACAATGAATTTATCAGTTTGTGCTTTATGGTTGTGCTAGACAGATAGTAGTTGTTTACTCATACAAACAAGACGTAGACTCATTCTACCTCAGCACTTATCTCAAAATGGAGTAAGCTGGGAGCCAGGGTTGTGGCTCAGTGGTAGAGTGCTTGCCTAGCATGCATTGGGCATTGGGTTAGATTCCCCACACCACATAAAAATAAAAATAAAATAAAATAAATAAAATAAAGGTATAAAAATGGAGTAAGTCAGGGCAAACGACTGCTTTTTAAAATGGAGTAACTCTGGGTTAGGCACAATCTGAAAACTACTGTTCTATACATCATGAAGTAATTCAGAGCAGGGCACAGTCTGCTCTCCATAGCCTCCACCTACAGAGAGGGTGAGATCTGGGTGACCAGAAGTCATTCAGCCTAGTGGTATTCCTTTGTCCTACCCCATACCCCTGAGTTCCTCAGTCCCCAGTTCCCATGGGAAGAACAAAGCATTTACAACACCGGACCCTTCCTCCTGACAGCTACCTCTCTTGCCTGGGGCTTCAGATGACCACAAGATGTGACTGTGAAATGGTTCCTGAAATCACCTGTCCATTTTCAGTCTTTCAAAGAAGCACAATACAGAACAGTCCAATAAACTTTCTGAGATGATGGAATTATAAAATTTATATTTCACTTTAAATAAGTCAAATGTACATTTAAATTGTCAAATGTGGCTAATGGCTACTGTACTTGGACAGCACAGCTTTATAAACAGAGACAATAAAAATAGAACAAATGCACCATGATTTGGGGCTTCAAAAGTACTGTCACAATCACCTTCTCCTTGTCTGTCCTGCAAAAGAAGTATTTACCCCCATTTTACAGAGGAGGAAAATGGAGCTCAGGAAAGTTAAATGGCTTCCATATGAACAGAGTTAGTTTAAAATGGGATTTAATCTCAGATCTCTGGATTCCAAAATTCTGCCCATACTTCTATGCAACACTTAACGCAGTTATGCAGTCATGACATATGTATGGGTCATTGTTATTAGGTGTATACCTCTGAGCTAAACACTTAAAGACAAATCAGGCATAGCCCAGACTTTGGGTGGAAATCTCTGGACAAAGACAGTATAATTGCCACAAAAGGAATATGGGTATAAAAATTATTTTGTCTTTCAGATAGCTCAAAGCACTTCATTTTAAGGGTCATTGTGCCTCATGACTCTCCAATTTATATTTCAGGTCCCAACTCTGCCCAGAATTCCCAGTGGATATATCAATATCTAATTGACAAGCTTCTCAAGCTTGTCCCATACGCCCCACCTCATCTCAGTAAATGGAAATGCCCTTCTTCCAAATGTTCCACCTCAAGCTTCTAGAGTCATCCATGGGTCATCTTTTTTTTCATGCCTTTCATCTAATCCACCAGCAAATACTGTTGGCTCTGTCTTGAAAAAGCATCCAGAATGCTCACCATCTCCACTGCTGCCACCCTCACCTATCATCATCATCTCTAGCTAGGCTGAAGCAAACTGGTCTCTTGAGTCCCTCACTTTTCCTGATCTTTTTTTTTCCACACAGTAACTAAAGTGATCTTTTCTTTTAAAATTAAAAAGTCAAAATATGTCTCCTGTCAGTTTAAAGCTCCCAATGGTTTCCCAAAGTCCTTTGGTAAAGTCCTAGGGAGTTTAGGAATAGTCAAAAATGCCTCTCCAACCTCATTTCCTACCACTCTCTTTGCTTTCCAGGTTTAGCCATACCAGGTCTTCCTGCTCACTCTTCCCTACAGCTGTTGTCCAGTTCACTCTCTCCCTTCTTCAGGACTTCTGACTAAAGGTTTCCTCACGGCAGAGGCATTCCCCATTAGTTTATCATGTTTCCATTTTGTTCATAACATTCATCACCTCCTGACATGAATAAATGTTTGCTGGTTGTTGCTCTTCTCCCACTAGAGTGTGGGCTGCTAGGATAAACATAAAATATACAAGCTGTCCAGTTGGATTTGAATTTCAGATAAGCAACGCATCATTTTTCAGTCCCAGATGTTGATTATAGCAAAAAAAAAAAAAATCCTGTTTATCTGAAATTTAAACTTTACTGGGTGTCCCATATAATATTACTTGCTAATTCTGGCAAACTTGTTCAGGAAAGCAAGGACATTGGTTATTTTGCTCATTGCTGTATCCCCAGCATTAGAGTAGCTCTTGAAATGTCGTCCTCAATAAACACTGAATGAATGAATGTGTTCAACCAGATGATTAATCCGAAACACGCCCAAACTTTTAATGAACGGCTTGCGAGTCAGAGGGGTGGATCCTGTAGACTAGGTTAGTCCGGCTGGCTACCGAGGGCCTGCACAGCTGACAAACTTTCCAAGCAGGTCTGGCAGCCGGGTGCTCTGCCTATCCCGCCACCTCTCCTCGGCAAACAAACCTCCACCCAGCTCCGAGGAGCTGCGGATCTCCAGCGGCCCTCCTGGGGGCGGGGCCTCCCTAACCAGCTGGCGCTACCCAGCCCTCGCCTAGAGCCAGCACCCCTCTAAAGCCCCGCCTCCCTGCCACCATTCGCACCCACTTGCGTGACGTCAGCCAGTGGGCAACCAATGGGGGCCCGGCTTACTGGCAGGCGGTGCCGGGGGGCCACTGCCAAAGGGGAAGTGAGCTGAGGCTGCAGCGATGGCCCGGGTTTGGTGCCCGCGGCCGCCGCCGCCGTCACCACCAGCGCGTCGGGAGCAGCCGCGGCCGGAGCCAGAACGGGGGCCGAAGTCGCGGCTGGAGTGGGAGCGGCGTGTGTGAGTAGCTGAAGTCGCCCGTGTCGCAACACCTCAAACTCAGCCGGAGCGCTTCAGGTGGGGGGAGCGACGGTCGCCCCCTGAGTACYGCCCCCCGCCCCCCGGCCCAGACAGCAGGGCTGGGGTCTCCCAGGCACCGGACTAGCTGCTGTCGCGCCAGGCCCTCCTACCCGGACTCCCTTCAAACTCAGGACGGAGGCCAGAGAACGGTGATCATCCCAAACCCCCTCCGCCTTCCCGGCCGGAGCTTTTTCCCGTCGCCCSGGCAGAGTTCCGGGTTGTAGTGCGGTGGGGGGGCAAACCCCCTCCTGCCGCCACCTCTCCAACCAGCGAGTTCCCACTGTCTTGCTCTGCATCGCCTCTTCTCCACCCTTTTCAAGAACAAGTCCTGTCCCAGACGTTCAAAGTATCTATTCTGGGTGTCCTGCCCCAGCTCTTGGAGCACTCTTAGAAATATTGCCTATTTACCAGGGCTGAGAATCTCTCATTCTTGACGTAGCTTTTCTCCCCTTTGGGAGATAAAGGTTGCCCCCTTTCCACTCTCTTACCMGACAGACACTTCATGACCCGGGCTTTAGCCATTTGGATCATCAGCGCCTCGGCCATCTCTATGTGACTTCCCCCACCCRTTTGAGTTCCAGTGTCCTCTGGGCTCCATTCTCCAGCCCCCAGCGGATCTGGTCAGTCCCGCCCCTGGGTGGGAGTGACCAGGGGGCTCTGGCCCAGGATTTCCCACCCTGGAAGGTAGTAGCTCCAAAGCAGCAAGAGAATTGGGCGTCRGGTACGAACCTGGCAGCTCAGGAGTGGGTGCACCACCCACCCCACACAAGAAGATGAAAAAGCGCAGAGAGCTTAATGCATTGATCGGTTTGTCTGGGGACAGCCGGAGAAAGAAGCCCAAGAAAGGCTCAAGCAGCCACCGTCTGCTTCGCACTGAGCCTCCTGACTCAGACTCTGATTCCAGCTCAGAGGAGGAAGAGGAATTCGGTGTTGTTGGAAATCGCTCTCGCTTTGTCAAGTAAGTAAATGCAATGATCAGGGCTGGGAGGGTGAGAGCCATCTCCTTGCACTACCAATGGGACAAATCAGTGGGAAGAAGAAAGAAGTTTATAAGAAGAAAAAAGGTAAACCTTAGAAGGCAAAGAGGGAGAAAAGATGTTCAGATCCTGAATAAAGGATAAGTTGGAGGTCAGTCTTTAGGTATTGAAAGAAGAGCCCCACCTGTAGGGTGAAGGTTGTGGACGTGGGGAATGTGCCAAGAGCCCTGGGAGATTTAAAGAGGCTAAGGATAGAGGGGCAGAGAAACTTTGGGGATTAGAATGTAGGAGAGTCCGGACTATCTTCAAACTGCTAATTATTTTTTGTACTCATATATGAGTCTAAATCTTGGTGGGAGAATATGGTGAGGGATGTATTATAGAAAGTATGAGACTTAAGAGAAGATGGAGGGTGAAGGACAAAAAGGCAACTTTTCCCCAAACTATTTTTAGTTGGCGCAGTCATTGAACAAGTAGTGAGCTTTGAGCATGTTGGAAATTGGAGCTGAACCTGGTAAAGGGACCCTGTTAGAAGACACACTAAAAGAAAAGCGAATTTTTCTGAGGATTTGAAAGCAAGAGCTAGGCAGAAAGTTGAGTGCCAGAAGAGATTGGATCCTTTGTGTTTTTATTTAGAATGTCTACCTTTTTTTGTTGTTGTTGTTTTGTTAAATAAGAGTATGGTTTCTAGTGACTTTTTCAGATTAGGTACTTAAACTTGTGTTTGGGGTATGAAGGTTTAATGATGGGTTAATTCTAGAATAGTTACCCTACTGGGTTAGTTTAGACCTTGAGGTCTGGATGAGTTTGGTGTGAAATCTAGCTTGTTTGTTTCCTTCCTTCTGAGCCAGTAAACTAGAGTGCACCAGGTGTCTACTTAACCCTACAGATCCTATTTCTTTCATTCCATTTGCAGTAAAACTTGTTCAAAAGTTTGTGAAGTTTCTATACACTGAAACAAGGTCCCCTGGAGTGAACSAACTTATATTTGAAAGTGAAAAATAGGTACATTACAGTGCGGTGATAGTTGAAGAGAACCACTGGTTTTATACTTTTCTAATTAAGCTTTTCTCCAAAGACCTCTTGCCTGAATTGATGTTGATGGCATTATTCTTATGATAGGGGAGACTACTTACGATGCTGCAAGATCTGTTATCCTCTCTGTGCTTTTGTCATCCTCGCGGCCTGTGTTGTGGCCTGTGTTGGCTTGGTGTGGATGCAAGTTGCTCTGAAGGARGATCTGGATATTCTCAAGGAAAGATTTAGAACAAGTAAGTGGTCACCCTTTTCCGAGTATAATCTGAAACTCTTTTCCAGGTTCAAGGACAAATTGACCATGCTGAGTTTTGCCCATTCTGATAAAGCAATTGTACATTCTTTTCAGCATGTTTATACTCTTTTCCAGCTGTCAACTTGAATGTTGCAACAGTTTTTTGGTTTTGGAGATAGGTACTGGAAATTGAACCCAGGGACTCTTTACCACTGAGCTACATTCACATCCTTTTTTATTTTTTATTTTGAAATGGGGTCTTGTTAAGTTGCTAAGACTAGCCTCAAATTTATAATTCTCCTGTCTTAATCTCCCAGTTTGTTGGGATTATAGGGGAGTGCCACTGCTCCTGACCAATTATCTCTTTTTAAACTGATAAACAAAAGACAGTGCTTATCCACCAGTATTTTAGATGCTACTTGTCCACCAGGACATTGCAGTTGACTCTTAGAGTACAGAAAGGAAGAGCAGCCTTGAGCCTTGGTTAACCTCCATGTATGACCTGGACGCCACTAAGTGAAGTGGCGATAGAAGGCTCATTCCTTCTACTTTACAGGAACAGTTGAGAAGGAGGGTAGATGTGTCTACCAAATTATTTTCTCTTATGAAAAAACATGTAGAAACATAGCAATAAGCAACTATAATAACCAACATTTATGGAATGCCTACCATATGCCATGTCACAAATAAATCATTTTATTATTTTTATGCTCTTAAAATCAAAGAGGCTTAGAAAGATTAAGTAGCTTGTTCAGTGATTACGTGTGGCAGACCTGACATTTGTACCTGGTCCTCTTGCCCCTTGCTGCCCAGGTTCATGTGTATAACCACTAGTATATTGAATCACTGTTGCCAATGCTTGCGTAAGTCTATACACATTTCTCCAAATACCCATAGATTTCTTTGATATTAACTTGGGTCAGTAATCTAAGAGAAGTTTAGTAGAAATACCAGAAGAGCTGGTTTTCTGCATATTTATCAACTTTCAAGCATAGAGCAAAAAAAAAAAAAGAACCAGATTTCCCTCTTATCTTTATCTATGCTTATTTGCTTGTTTGTGGCATTATGTGTTTTAAGGAAAAACCATTTTTAAAGATATAATTTTAAAATTTTAGGAAACCCCTGATTCTTTGAATTAAATTATATATTCATGAAGAACTTTCAATAACCGAAAGAGTACCTACCTTGAACAATATACAGCTGGGAGAAGTATCTGTCTCATGAAAGAGTGTCAAGGTTAAAGAGACTTTTCAAGATACAAAGCACTATATATTCTAATTGTGAAGTTGTATTTTACACATTCAAATTATTTTTTCTGACAGATTTGTTTGCATGGTAGCTTCCACCACATTTAACCTAAATATCTGGTTGGCAACACTGAAATTTTTGGTTCTAGATTTCATGGGTTAATTTTCTAAACTAAGGAATTAGTTTCAACTTAATCACAAATACATAACCTTGATAGCATTATCACACGGGTAAACTGATCACAGTCTTTCTCAAGGTCACAAAGAAAGCTGGCTTCAGAACTGGAATTAGAGTTCTTATTCCTATTTTAAGCCTGGGAGATCACAACATTTGACCTTTTCTTCACCCCAACTTCTTCTTGCTGCCTGCAGTTTTCAGGTTCTGAACCTGACCTAAGGATAGCTAACCTTTAGTGTGATAGTCATGTCTCTAGTGATATTGCTTTGGGGAAAAAATTATGAAATGCTCACTTTGGTTTTCTTCAGATTCAGGGATTGCATTGGGTAAACCATAATTTTCTTCCAGAATCATCCTGACTTGTATGATTTATCAGCTGGTTAAATAATATAAGAAAGAATGAGAGTCAAGCTCTGTTTTTTCTCTGGCTTACTGGTTGTCCTTGCAGTATTGCAAAGTGTTTCTAAGGCCAGTGTATTCTTCATATGTAAGTAGTAATTATAAATTGAAAACAAGGTTCTCAGAAACAATGTTTCACCATAAGTAACCACTGACCACTCCTGTCTGTACAATCATCTCTCCATAATTAGTTGGACTTCATAGGCTTGTGCCACAGCTTGTTTTGATCACACGTAGCAATTATATATTTATACATTTCAACACATTACTCAGTGCTGCCCTCTAGGGATTCCTTTCTCTAAATGCTCTATGTCTCTGTTCATAGGATACACAGGTAATTTGTACCTTAGCTGAGCTTTTCAAGGAATTTCTTAGTTTGGAGAATGTAGGGCATGTGGTAGGCCTGACAGTAAATTAGTTAACAAATATTTAGTGAGCACTTGTTAATACCAATCTCTGGAAAGAGTGTATTTAGGAACTGCCAAGGATTATGCCCTGGACCATGGAGCTGGCTTTCTCACACTGAGCAACATTCCCCTGGGATCCTGACTACATTTGTGAGCCAGCTAAATGAATTAGGTGTGGATTTAGCAATCCACCTCTTTTGATGTCTTTGATTTGCTATAACAGAAATGCCATTACCTCAATATCTGAAAGCAGGACTTCTGAAAGATGATAGAGAAGAGATGGAGCCTGGGGAATTCAGTCCATAGGCTAGACTATTGTGGACTGCTTGCCCAAGAGTTTTTTTGTGAAAACCAATTATCTTGACTAAATGGGGTCACTCTTATGAAGCTTAAATAATATTTCTTTGAATTATGCTTCTACTTTAAATATGTTTCAATAAGTTAACTTACTTTTTAGTTTTCAAGGACATGGTGRAATTCACTGACTCAAATAAGACCACCATCTTATCTAGGTTTAATACTTTTTTGAGAAATTCAGAGCCCCTCTTTCTTTATTTCAGTAAATTTTCCAAGGAGCTTGTGAGGCTAAAATATCTGAAATAGCAAAACAGATAGGCTTGGCATTTTCCTTTGTGATCAAGGAATAACTTGATCCTTGAGTTTAAAGTACTAGCTGGCCTTAAAACTCTTGGCTCAGTGTCCTTTTTCCAGAAGCAGGTACTCTGAAAGATCTCCACAGTTATTCTAAGAAAAATTCTGTTCCAAGCTATCCTCCTTTATCACTAAAGTGTGAAACATTAGGAAAAGAATTTGGAAGAGAAGGATGGTATTAATATATCAGTCATCTCCTTTTCTGGCTATACAGGCAAAGTAGTGACTTGATATTTAGTATATAGAACTTAAAAATATCTTGTGCTAATGAGGGTATTAGGATGTGTGTGAGACCTCTGGAGTATACTCAAAAGAGTACTGACCCTCAGAACAGAAAATTTGAATCCTGGCTCTAAAATTTAAACAAGTCACTTATTCCTTTTGAGCCTTCATTTTCTCATAAAAATGTATTTGTACCCCCAAGCACTTTGGGTATTCCTCTAATGTTGGTCACACTATATAGTAATCAATGCCTCACTTTTCCTCTAGACCAAGAATTTAGGGTCTTCTATATACAGTGGTGCCAAATGCAAGACTGGCACATGGTAGAGGTTCAATAATAATTTGTTTAATAATGGTTACATAAATTTTATTGCAAGTTGTAAAGACATTGTATAAATAAATATTGCTATTAGCATATGTTCTGCTCCTAAGGTACAGTGCAGAAATTTCCATGTCCTAATCTTTTTTTTTTTTTTTGATGGTGGTGCTGGGGATTGAACCCAGCGTCTTGTGAATGTGAGGCAAGCACTCTGCTGAATGCGAGGCAAGCACTCTGCTAACTGAGCTGATTCCCAACCCCAATCTCCTAATCTTATATATTAAAAAATCAACTAGGTAATTCTTTTGAGAATTAACATATTAAATTTTAAACAAGTTGCTTTCCATGTTGAAAGAACATGAATTAGGAATTGTAAGTTATTTGCTACACTTCCTCCCATTTATGTAATAAAAGTATGTCTGCTTAGCTTGTATCTCCTAAAAAGCCTAAATTATATAATGATTACAATCCCCTTTTAATTCATACAGTCCTCAAGATATAGTATTTTCAGGACTTACCATTTTTATGTATTCATTAGTTAATAATTGTAAACTAGGTTATTGTGTTTGTCTTATTTTTCTCTTCCACTTCTAATTCCTACTTAATGCATACTGACTTCAGAAAAGAAAGAAAACTTTCCTTCTTTGGGATTTTCAACCACCTGAATATGAACATTCATGGATGGGTTTTCTTTACAATCTTACTGAAAATGTGTAAGAAATTCAGTAACATGCTTTGAGCTTCTTTAGTTTAGACTAAATGGGAAAATATTTTTACTATATGAGATAGGTATATTCCTGCAACCCATGTGTAAATCAAATGCCACATTAAAGTACTTAAGGAAGTCTATTACTTGAAATGAAATCATTCAGCAAATATCTTTGAAAGATAAATAAAAATATCTAATTTCATTTTTCTAAATTTTCATATATTGGGCATGTATGAAATACCACCTCAGTTTTAGGGGGGAAGTTTTTGTTGCTAAGTATTTTGAGGAGCTTTCTTTCTTGAAATTTTCTTTGTTAGATTGAAGAGGTAGACACAGTGGAGTGCCTGAAATGTACCAGGTATAATTTTTTTTTTAAGAGTTGACTCTTTTTTCCTTTTAATGCCTTTATTTCTATTTATTTTTATATGGTGCTGAGGATCAAACCCAATGCCTCACACATGCTAGGCAAGCACTCTGAACTGAGCCACAACCCAGCCTGTGCCAGGTATATTCTACACAGATATGAATAAGACCCAATCTTGGAGTTTACATTTTAGTAAATTGTTTTTTATTGGTCCTTTGTATCAGTTTTTGGTTTAAAAGAAAGTAAGTAATAACTAATCATGCGGTCTATGACCTAAAAAAAAAAAGTAGGTTTTATTCTGAAGGACCAGCCATTATCAATATTTTATTTTCCATTAGAAGGAAAAATGCTTTTTAAAGAAGAGAAAGCACTCTCTCAGGACTCTGCCTTCATGCTGGTAAATCTCTCAACCATTCAAGAGACATTGTTTCCTAAAGAAAAGGCCAAATATCACCCTGTACTTCACCTAGCATGATCCTTTATCTTCTACTTCATCTGGAGCTTTTGGGTTGATATTGGATTTTAGAAAACACTTTGCTATTTATGAAAAGTATTAAAAACCTCAGTCCTCGTAACAGTTTTGAAAAGTGATAAGACCCCTTGCATTTAAAACTATTACTTGTATGATGTCTCTTGAGCATTAATGGAGCAAGCTTTATAAATCTTCATTGATTAATTGAAAAACTCCTTATTTGAGCTGGTTAGTACTAAGCATTTATGTATCTCTTCTTGTGTGCTTGGCCAACTGTGTTAAAAACTTTACATCCATTCTCTTACTTAATTCTAACAATCCTGGGAAGTACATCTTATCACTGTATTACAAATGAGGAAACTGAGTTCAAAGAATGTGAATAATTTGCTCAAAATCAAAATGTTACAGAGTTTCATATTTAACTCCTCTGCTCATGATATTTTTTTATTTTTTAGCTACCTGACTTAAAAAAACTGCAATGCCAGTAGTGAAATAGCTCTAGTTGGTCTAGTTGAAATGAGGGCTTAGTGTTAAATATATGCATTTAGTATATAAAATAACAGTGGATTTGGTAATATGAATTTGATCATTATCATCCCAGAGTTAACTTTTATTAATTTATCTTCTTTCCAACTGTGTGATTATTTTTTCATCTTGGAATCATGAGGGAAGCTTATTTCTATTTATGATTTCTTTTTTTCCTTTTAGTGGAATCTAATCAGAAAAGCTCATTCCAGGAAATACCCAAACTTAATGAAGAACTACTCAGTGAACAGAAACAACTTGAGAAGATTGAGTCTGGAGAGCTGGGCTTGAAKGATGTCTGGCTCAACATCACAGAAATGAATAAGCAGGTAGCAGTGATTTTATTTCTGTATTAGCTATGAGGGTTGTGAATTTACTTCAGGTTGCTAATTTTTTAAATTGGGGTTTTACATACTATGATCCCAACACATTTAAAATATGTATTAGTTATGCATTTGCCAAATATTTAAAATTTTAACCCTTTCTTAAATAAACAAAGTTCCTCCAAGTTAGAGCAGTGTAGAGGGAGTTGGAAATTGTTGAGTTGGTGTTTCCTATGAGGCAGTATAGGTATCATAAAAAAGGAGTGTCATCCAACCCCCAAGAAAAATGGATAACCTGTTTTTATTGGATTCTGAGAGCTTTGTTTTATTTAATAGAGTTAATAAACGTACAGTTGCAGCCTTGGGATATAGTGCTGTATACTATGCTAAACCAAATCTGGAAATCATACCTAGTGGTGGTTATTCTAGAGTAGCTTAGGAGCAGGTGGTAAAGTAAGCTAAATACTTTGGCCAGGCAAAGAAGCCTAGAATATAAACTTTTCCAGTCCCTAAGTTGGCTAGAGTTCAGTAGGCCTTAATTCCTAAAGAGTGAATGTGACAGGGCTGGGGTTGTGGCTCAGCGATACAGCACTCGCCTGTCGTATGTGAGGCCCTGGGTTTGATCCTCAGCACCACATAAATAAATTAATTAATTAAATAAAGGATGTTGACTATGCATYTCATATATATTAGGAGCTATTGTTGTCATTGGGTCTTGTAGCCTGTGTCTGCAGTTTATTCAGTTTATTTGGGAAAGGTGTCATCATTGAAAAGAAAACTCAAGTAACAAATGAATTAAAATAAAAATGAGCAGTTTGGCTAGAGAATACATCAGGTGAAAGCAGACTACACTGAAACTCTGAAAGATAATTAGCATCTCTCCTGAGGCAATCAAATTCCAGTATATCCCATCTCCTTATAAATCATGGAGTTTTTCTGAGATAAAGATGAGATTGTTTAGCATGAATAGGCAAAATGCCTAAAAATAGGTGTGTCATGTTTGTGGAACTAAGAGGATATTCTTTTCTTCAGAGGGGAGTCACAAAGTTCAGAATGAGCCAAACAGTGGGAGTTTGCTGTGGGAGAGAACACTGTGCTAGAGGAAGTACTTGTGATTATTTCTGAAGCTACACCTTTCAACAGTTGTTCGTGAGCTGAGTAGTTCAGTACTTAGGAACAAAGATCAATGACCTGGGCACCACATGGCTTCCAAACTTTTGCCTGGAACCCACAGTAAGGAATGTTTTATATAATGACTCAGTAATCACATTCAGACATATGTGTTGTAGTTTGAATGTGTCCCCCAGTAGTTCATGCATTGAAATTTAATCCCCAGATTAATGCTAATGGTATATTAATTGAAACTTAATCCGCCAATGCTAATGGTATATAGGGGTAGACTTTTTTGGAGGTAATTAGAATTAAATGAGGTCATAAAAAATAGGACCCCCAATGATGGTATATTAAGAATGATGGCACACTGTTCTGTCTCATCACGTTCATTTGATGTCCTCCATTATATTACCATGCAGCAAGAAGGCCCTCCCAGATGCTGGTGCCATGCTCTTGGGCTTTCCAGCCTCCAGAACCATGAGCTAAATATAAATAAACCCCTATTCTTTATAAATTACCCAGTCTCTTATGTTCAGTTATAGCAACAGAAAATGGTCTAAAATGCTATATGTAACTGAGATAAGTTTCTGAAAACAGTGACACACCCTAAATATGTATGATGCCTTATGGCTTGTTATTTCCTATTCAATTCTATTTTGGAGTTTTTAAAAATTATTTATGAAATAATTGATAGGCTATAGTACCTAGTACTTACTAGTTGCCATTTATGCTTGGACTCCGTAACAAAATAGGGACAAGCAGGTATTCACTCCTTTCATGCAAAAAGAATAGGATAAACTGTGGCCTTGCTTACATTCACACAGAAAATGAGCAATTTGGGCAGAGATTATATCAGGTGAAAGTAGACTACACTGAAATCCTTTGAGATAAAATTAATCTCTCCTGAGGCAATCTGAGGATTCCAGTAGCTAGTCATGGAGTTAACTATTCTGAGATGAGGATGAGATTGTTTAACAAGAAGAGGCAACATCAGCTATTTCCCATCTCCTTATAAATGGCATTGTATGAAGAATCAAAGGGAAATTGGTTCTTAGTATGAGAAGACAGATTTTTTTTCACATGTTTGGGATATATTTTGATTTCCAAATTCTCTTTAACCAGAAATCTGGACACAAAAGAATCACTTTTATTCCTGGCCTGGCCATTATTTTTAATGCAAAAAGTATCTGGGAAGAAGGCTGGGGCAGTTGCTCAGTGATAGAGTGCCCACCTCCCATGTGTGAGGCACTGGGTTCAATCCTCAGCACAACATAAAAATAAATAAAGATATTTTTTTTTAAAAGTACCTGGGAAGACAGGTATATCGAGAAGTTTACTTCAGTCCTTGGGTTTTATATATGAAACTGGGAAGATTGAATTGCAACCTTTTCCATTTTAGCTTCAATATACCTTCAGAAATGCTGGGAGTGACTAATGAAGTCAGCCTAACACAGCAATTCTTTACTGGCCTGGGCCCAAACAGTGATTGGATGGTGGTGAAGCAGAGTTTCATGTTGTTTCCAAAGGGAGTCAGCAGCACTCTGAGTGTTTTTCTAATGGCATCTCTAATGGCATTTGTCCTAAACCAAAATAGTTATAAAAATAAAATTAATATTTAACTATGTTTCTATATCTAAAGGTAACTGTCCATTAAGATGCTTTTAGTGGCATTTTTAAAAGTAATTCAAAGTGACTTAAACAACAAGAAAATGTATTTCATCACTTAACAAAGCACTGTCCTTACCACAATGTAAGTTGAAGTTAATGCAGTTTTTAAAACAAAAGCTATCAGTTTGGAAAGCATAAAATCGTATTTTCCCTTGAAAAGTCTTTAAACTAGTAGTTGAAATGTATTCATAAAAACCTCTGAATTTATATCTATTTCTTCTTGACCATTATAGGGACTCTTCTCCCTTTTCTTTGAAGATTATTAATGCCACAAATGTTTACTAAGCTGTTTTTATGAAACTAAGTCTTGGATTCTGTTTTAGTCCATTCAGGTTACTATAGCAAAATACCTTAAACTAGATAACTTACACACAACAGCAATTTATTGTTCACAGATCTAGAGGCTTGGATGTACAGAGTCAAGGCACTAGCAGGCTTGATGTCTAGTGAACATTCATTTTTCTGCTTCATACATCCTGCCTTCTTACTGTGTCTTCCCATGTCAGAAGGGGCAAACAAGCTACCTTGGATCTCTTCTGTGAAGACACTAATTTCATTCATGAGAGTGGAGCCCATATCATGTCTCAGAGGCTCCACCAATTAATGCCACCACATTAGGGATTAAGTATCACCATATAAGTTTTAGGGTGACACAAAATTCATAGCATAATAGATTTAAAACCAAAAAGATGTAATTTCTTTCCTCAAGGGTCTCACCAAAAAAGTGGAAGTTTTTTTTTGTTTTTTGTTTTTTGGTACCGGGGATTGAACTCAGGGGTTCTCAAGCACTGAGCCACATCCCCAGCTTTATTTTGTTTTTTTATTAAAGACAGGGTCTCACTAAGTTACTTAGCACCTCGCTGTTGCTGAGGCTTTGAACTCATGTATCTCCTGTCTGAGCCTCCAGAGCCGCTGTAAGTATATATTCAACCAAGGCTGGGGTCAGTTGAGATTTCCCAAAGATGTTGAGCTGAGTCCTGAAGGACAAATAGGAGTTGGCCAGGTAAATTTTTGAGAAAGAGAAGAGGGTACTTAGCTTAAAGCATTAGTATAGCCTGTCCTCCTAATTTGTAAATTCCATATTTGCAAATTCATATGCTGAGTAAAATTTATTTGTAACTCCAAAGTCTATATTTGGGAGGCTTTTGTAGTCATTCACTGACTTGTTCACAGAAGTAAAAATTTGAGTCACTCAGTACACATTTACAGCTGAGGTTGAACAATGCAACACACTGCTTTCTTGTTTCAGGTCTTATACTATAAACAAGTGTCTTCTTTATAGTATATTTAATGCCACATTTTTCCTATTTTTATACTTTTTGTTGGTGATTTTACTGTTTCAGTGTCGCCAAGGCCTAGAGATAAAGTTCTATGGTGTTCTTAAATGCAAGGAGACTGTGGTATGCCTTTGAAGTAAGTATATATATATATATATATATATACTTGCTTCCTTCAAGCATGACTTGAAGTAGTGCTGTTAGTGAGTGAACAATATGCATTAAATAATATTTTTAAACAAAAACATGCATAAAACAAAATTATGTATTATATTGATCAGTTGACAAAAATGTGATGAAAAAAAGGTCTGGTAGGAACGTAACCCTGCATTTCCCCTAGGAACAGCAGTTTAGTATTCACTAGTTCAATATTTGCTGCAACTTTTCTAGAAGATAACTACCACTACCAATGAAAATGAACTTTATGTGCAAGAGAATAGATGAATAGAAACACAATGTGTTTAGGGAATTTTAGTCATTCATTATAGCTCTATCATAATAGAAAGAGTCCAGAGATCAAATCCCTCAACAAGAACCATTAACAAAAAGAACCTTGAGTGCCCTTCTATAGTACTCCCTATATCTTTACGCACTTGGTCCAAATAACGTGTGTAATGGTTATTTGCATGTGTATCTAATTGCACTAGAAGGTTATATAATGTATTCTGAACCTTAAACATGATGATGAAAGTGATAGTGATGATGGTGGTGGTAGGTTACCAGGTAATGATAATTGCCGTTATTGAGTATTCTCGTTGTGTATTCCACTATTAGATGCACTGCATCTGTGATCGTCTTTATTTATATAGCCCTATAAAGTAGAAAATGGTATCTCCATTTTATTCGTAAGAAAATTAAGGATCAAAGAGGTTAAGTAGTTTGCAGAAGGTCACACAGCTGTATAGCAGTGCTAGAAATCAAAATACATCTTGAGAGCCTTTTTCCCAT